TTCAAGTGAAGCAACGGGGCCCACGGTGGTCCTTACTCCCGCGGCCCGGCCTCGCGCCCCTCCGCGCCCCCTCCCCCAAACGATCAATTACCAGCCACCCTTCTGCCGGGAGCGGCGCGGGGGCTGGCTGGCGGCCGCGAGGAAACGGCAGCCGGGGATCACTTCTGCATGACAATTGATGGGAGGGAGGGCGCGAGGCGAGGAGGGAGGGCGGCTGCGGTGTCCGTTTTCTCACCATGGTGATTAGGCATTCCGGCCGTGCAGGGAGGCAGCCGCCGACCAGAGCCGCGCGGCGGGCGGGGAGCGAGGACCGAGAAGAGAGCGAGAGCCGGAGCGGGAGCGAGCCCAGCCGCCGCGCTGGCGGGCGAGCGGTGCGCGGGGCCAAGCTAGGCCAGCTGGCTCTGCAGCCATCAGGGACTGCTCCGGTCCAGCCCGGCCCCACTTTAACTGTGCAAACATTTCTTTATCCCAACAAGACAATTAAACCCAGCAGCATGAAAAGGAGTCTCCATGACTGTGTTGGGAGTGAACAACCAGAAACAAACACACACATCCCAGGAGTTCTTAAAAGGACTTGGGGAAAACCCGGGAGCAGCTGAGCAACAATCAGGCTGGGTCTAGGCAGTCAGTACAGAGGAAACCATCTGACTCATCTGGGTCTGGTGGTTTGCTGACCCTTTCACAGTGGTCATCTGCTCCAGCTACAATCCAGGAGTTCAGCCTGGTGACCTGAGAACTGCCCCGAACATTATTTCCAGCAAGCGCAATTCTAAAAGCCCAAATTAGGGTCCCTGTCCACCCAGTCCCAGAGCCCTTGGGACATATTCCCTCTAGCAACGCCCCCATGATGTAGCTGACCCTCCTCATTCTGGGCTTCCCTGGGCTTATGTACCCTCAGTTATTTGATTCTTAGAACACAGGGACTTAAATGGCACATGCCTTTATAAGGCACATTTCAAAGTACAAAATACCATCTTCTACTCAGGGCTTTTGGGACCTGAGAACCAAAGTAGAACCACCTGTAGTTGCTGTGAACTACCAGTTTCCTACCTACCTACCTGTGAATCTGTCTAATCATAGGGAAGGGCCAAGATAAGAGGGCCACTTATGGTCACTGCCCAGTGCCCATCCCTGATGTGGCCAGTCATCGCTCCACACAGGCAGTTCTGGTCCCTCTCAATCCTCAAATAAGCATGCATACTAGCCAACTCCAATTTGGGATGAGTGGACCGACTGGCAGGCTGGCCAAAGACTGTGTCACCCAGGCAGAAGTCTAGGCACAGAGGTGGTCCAAAGAAAATGATAAGGAAATGCACATGATAAGAGCCAGAGTGCTAAGGGGGTAATAAATGTATAGATTCTAGCACAAGGCAGCAGATAATACGTATCTTCCCTTTGTTGTAAAGTTTCTTTAATGAGGAAATGTTTATTTTAAAAGCCCTGGGAAACATATCTGTAGACACTTCATATGTAAGACACACGTGGACTATTTGTAATTGGTCCATAAATTTTAGCATCATTTCCCTGGACAAGGAGCCCTGGGAGACTGGTTCAGGGAGTGACAATAAACAGGAGTTACCTCAGTCCCCTTCCTGGGGAATTATGCATCCTCCACGAACGGCTTCTCACAAAATACTGCTCCCTTTTTTCCAGGGTAAATAAGTCAGTCCTGTAGAGTAAAGGCTTCTTTTTTCCACAAAGCCCAACACCTACCTTGGGAATCACCTGTGATGCCAGGTAGATGAACAAGCAAGCAAACAGGAATCATCTACTAGAAAAGACGACACTTTACCCAAACAGCTAGAATTTTTCCTACAAAAATGGATATTTAATCACAAAAGAAAGTACCCAGATTGAAGGGAAGAACACATACGTGTACATTACACCATGTCTGCAGGCCCCTCTTTCAAATGCTCTCACATGTGGACATATCTGCATATGGATACAGTGTGTGAGCAGGGGGTGGCTGCAACAGTAAAAATTGTCAGTGTTTCCATTGTAAAACTGATTTTTCATTGGCCTAAAACTCAGTCATAAAACTTCTACTCTATGTAAGGGACACCCACCCACCCAGTACAATCCCCCCCACAAATGCTTATTTAGGAGTTTTACTGCTGTATTTAATTAAAACATTTTTTTATACTTTATGAAAAAAATTTATATGAAGAGACTGAAAAATGAGTCAACCATATCAGAAATTAACTCTAAATTTTAAGAATAAAAAACTAAAATATATATGGTTTATATTCTATCATATTGGTAGTCTGGACAAAAGCCACTTAACCTATTACTTTGCTATTTTGAACACTCTATTCTCTGTCCTCTTGCCTTCCCATCCCCCTCCCTGCCCCATCTGCCCCTCAAGCTCTCCCTTTGGAAGCAGTCTTGTATACTGTCACTCGATTATCTGAGAAATATTACTTATTTCAAAACGGTTCTGTAGGGAGGACCTGAAAGGCATCTAGTGGGAATAATCAGGCCTTCTAACGGCCCTTAAATATGTATTTACATAAAACAGACCATAAATATTCTGACACACATCGGCATATGACAGGAGCCAAGAAAGCTGCTGCAGACTTTGTCACAGTGCCTCTTCAACCCTTCCTGACAGAAAAATGTTTCCCCTGTCTTCCAAACACTCAAAATCAAAAGCACAGATGCTACGCAATACAACCGTTTGTGACGGCTGCCACACTGCCCAAGGAAAGGAAAGGAAAGGGAAGAGGAGCACAGATCCAGAGTTATCACCAAGCAACAGTCTCCTCTTCACTTTACACCTTTGTTTTTTGCTAAAGATTAGTCCCAAATGCAACTCTAGATAATAATGTGGGTATACAAACATCCCATACTCACATGCACACCCATAGGTTGAATATATGTGTAAGAGAAAAAAGAGAACACAAACTACTCTCTAAAGGAAAAATATTTTAAAAAATAGAGGGAGAATGGGCTCCAATTTCTGTAACAGTACAATTTGAAATAAAGAAGTTTCCCCACCCTTCTGATCAGAATCTCATTAATTTCAAGGTCAGAATTCCATTTCACTTTGGGAGACAGACTCATTTAATTTTTCTCCACCCAGGCGTATTCCGGTGTGAGGGATCCATCTCCATGGGGGATGGCACCACCACACAATGCAAACCAGGCAAACAGAAGAGTTATGGCTTTGACACTCGGAGGGGAATGGATATCCACATCTATGAGTTCTGACTTGACTAACAAGCTTCCTCCTCTCTGGGCATCTGATACAGGTTTGGGCTAAAAAGATAGATGGAGACAAGCTGGATATATTAGGAGAGAAGAAAGGAATCTTGATCTGCAGGTGTTACGTTGTGGCATATTAGTTTTGAAGGATTTCATTTTCAACTTGTATTTGGAGAAAAAGGGAGCAAAATTTGTCATACCCTAATCCAGGGCAGTTTTAGCTAAAGGTCAAATTACAGCTAGCCTTGAGCACTTGCACACTGACAAAAACTAAATTAAAACAGACCGACACAAAGCCAATCCATGTTCAGCAGGTATATTCAAAAAGCAGGATCATAACACATACGTCAGCTGTACGGAAAGGGGAGAGGTAGACGAGGAACTAAAGCAAAAGTGAGAGAGCACATGGGCAGCTGTGCTGTCACACAGCAGCCTTCTCCCGTAAGTGGGGAGGTCTCCGGCTTACAGACGCTGACATAAAAGACACACTCGCAACATATTTCAAAACCAAAGAGCGATGGATTTACAAGGCAGGTTGATTTTATGATGACTTTTATTGAAAAGGTACGCTGGGTTTAGGCAGATGCCTTTTAGCGCAGGAAAGTTAACACAGTGCCTAATTCAAGGAGACAGCCTGAGGAAGCAGTGCCGACAGGGGAGAGAGCTGCAATGTCTCTATTACTCTCCTCGGCATCATAAAGAGAAGAGAAAAAAATGGTATTCGTGTTGGTAGTTATAGAGAGGGCGGAAGCACAAAAAATAGAGAAGAGGGGAAAGCAAACCTCAGATGTAGTTTTCTTAAGAAAACAAAATGAAGCAAACCTTAGAACAAAGGGTTGGGTGAGAAAACACTCTCAGTTCATACATTTTCACCAGGCTTGAAGAAAACTGCTGTCTACCCACAGCCCAAAAGCTTCAAAACACAATTATTTTCTGATTAGATTAGATTAGATTAGATGAGAAGATTGCAGGGTTCAGGAGTCCTAGTCTACAAGTTCCAAATCAAGGTTAGTTCCAACTAGTAGTGAGGTAGCCAGAGCCCAAAAAAGCACTTGGAGAACATGAGAAAGCTGTTCCTTAAGCAGAAATTAATAATAGTTGTGAACATCAAATATGGAGCAGCCACACAGGTCAACCACAGCCAGTCCTCAAAGTGGGCTCCAGGATAAGCATCCAGCAAACCTGTTAAATCCCAAGAGAAGCCGGCTTTCTAGCCTTGCGATTGCAAGGAAAATACAGCTGTTTGAAATGCTTTATGGTGATTGACGACACCTTTGTCCTGCTCTGAAAAATAGCCTGATGTGGACAAGGGCTGAGAGTTGTGACAATAAAATCACATGGACTCCAGTGGATGCGATACAATGGAAAAGCTAAAATATAATACTAATATCAGAGAAACATAATGAGGATAGCAAAAAGAGGAGGGATGGATAAGTTTCTTCAGGCCCCCCAAATTCCCTAGGAACCTACCCTTTCCAATGGAATGACATTTACTCCAGTACCTATATGGTACCCCTCTTCACTCCAGAGTCCCCAGGGAATAAGCCAATCATGCCCTGGAGAGAAGGGCAGTGTGGAGGTCAACTTGCCTCTGGCTACCTTCAGAAAAACATTTCCTACAGAACTCTCAATGCTTACTGACAGAGACAAGTAAATATTAGTACTCCATAGCTATGGAATGGGAAGGAACTGGCCCTTCCCATTACTAGGAGCAGGGAAAAGGCCACCGACCTGTTGAACACTACTGTAAGGCAGGGCTTACTGGGGGTAGGGAGGGCTCACATCAAAGTACTTACATCTGTCATTCCGATCCTCTGGGCTAGATGACGCTTCTCGATCCGAAATGAGGCCGGAGACAGCAAAAATCTTCTTCCCCGTGTCATCAACCTTAAGTGAACCGGGGGAACTAGATGGCAGCTGTGTCCCAAAGTCATATTCCTTGCCATCTGCATCTGAGAAGCGCAAGTGGGGAGACTCTGTGTCGTGGCAGTTCTTCAGTCTCTTGGCCGGCGTAAAGGCTGACTGATAACTCTCCCTGTCCTCAGTGGAAGCAAAGGGACGGAAAGCCCCAACACCACTGTGATTTAGCATACTGATTGGAGTGCAATCTAGATTTGGGGGAGCAAACTGGGGGTGGAGATGTAGTAAAGAAGGGGGAAAATCACGATTGGCAAAAGTGCCCGGCACCCCACCCTGCCGATGGTACATAGAGGCAAAGGTGTAGGAACCGTTGGTGAATGGAATATGCACGTCCTTGTCTACTGAGACAGGTACACCAAAGGGTCGTGGCTGTTGACAAGGGATGGAAGCATCGCGGCTGGCCTCAGCTGTGGACGCCAGGACCATCAGTGCTGGGGATGCCAGCGGGTTGGGGAGGTAGGACGAGTTCTCCATCTTGAAGGCTGCCCGGTGTAAGTCCATTGGAGTTTCTTTCTATGGTCCGCGTCACACAAGAAGCAGTCTTCCCTGGGAGGGAGGCTGAGGGGCACCTTGGATCAGGGCAAGGAATGTTACTGGGGAATCATCCCCTTCTAACACCTGCAGAAACAGTAAAGAGAAAAAAAAAGAGGGGGAGGAAGGTTAGGGGGAGGAAAAGAACGGGAAACCCTAAGTGATCGAAACACCATCCTTCTGGCTTACAGATTCTCGGGCAAGAGACACCACAGGCTTTAGGAGCCAGTGGGCAGCAGCATCAGACCATTTTCATTCTGGAAAATCAATAGACAACTTACTGTGATGTACGCGTAGCTGACTTTGGTCCCTACACGTTCCGGGTGAAATGCGCCTGAGCCCAGCAAAGGGAAAAAAATCATAAAACCTCCACATACAATATTCCCTGAGCAAATGAGCTTTGGAAGACCAAGTCACCCAGTAGATTAGGTGGGGCGTATATTTTAAAGGGCCTCCACCTACATACACCACTCATGGCAGGCCTGATGTTCAAAAAGAGAAAAGGATCCACCTCTATAACGCCCCATGTATGAGTCGTCTCTTCATCTCCCCTAATAACGCCCTGATACTGAAAAATCCCTAAATCAAGCACATCTTGACCATGAACATCTGTACGTTAGGTGGTACAAATTGTGCGTGTGGATAAATCACACACATAAACACACATCTTCATGTATCATCTAAGACTGTTTCCAGAAAGAAATGCTGTGTGAACAAATAACAGCAGCATTATTGTTGCTGCATAACCCTCTCTAATCACACAGGCTTTCTCTTTTCTGAGAAGGAACAAAACCTTCATCAATAAAATGCCTGGCGTCTCTGACAATATTTAAAAACATAATGGGTGCCTTTGGCATATGTTCTCTAGAAGCGGCTGTCTTCCAGGGGCAGCAAAGAACGAATCGGTAATTTTAGTTACTAATGCACTCACTCTTAAGTAGATTTGTAAACTCCCTTGAATTTGCCATTAACATTTAGAGCAAAATGTTAACAAAATTTCTGACTTATTTTGCTCTGCTTGTTGGCCCAGCTAGAGTTGACATCCAATGAAGGCCTCTGGAACAAATTGGAGTTCGGAGAGACTTCTTTCAATTTCTCTTTTAAATTTAGGTTGTACATTTTCACAGTCACTGATTCTGTTTCAAAATTTACTTTTAGTGGGAAGTGGGAGAAGGGCTATATATCAAAAGTCCAGATAACACAAGATGACTACTAGGACTTATTAGCTTCAAACATACACACTAAGTAGAAACGTAAGTGAAACTCAAAGTGTAACCAAAAATCACCATCTGCTACAAATTATAACCTTTAAATTGAGAGTCATGTCTCAAATAAAATTTACCCCCTCCCTTAAAAAACCCCCGCCTAGATAATGGAGTATCTGTCTTTGGTGTTCCCTCAAACAGAGAAACCTTAGTTAAACTGTAGATGAATCCTCCTGACTTAATGCAGTGCAAAGAGAGTATTTCCTTCTCCCATCCTGTAGTAGAAGTGTCAATGACTGTTATTAATTGGGAAGATGAGTGCACACCATCAGACTGCTTCCTCATTTGGCATCTTTCCTTATAGACATCATTGCTAAATTACCAGATTATGTATCTCACATTAACGGATTTTTCTCTCTTCCAAATTTTAAATAACTTTCCTGTCAAGTTATAGCAGTGCAGGGAATGATCTGCCAAGGGCAGCCGGTGAGGCTGACAAGTCTGGGAATCCTATTCTTGGCTGTTTTCAAGTCAGATTAATAGCCACACAATATGGATGCTCTGAAAGTGGGTCTAGGGCTGTTCCAAGGGTTCTAAGCAGCTTTTCACAACAGAAATAACTACTTGTCCATCAACAAGCAATATTATATGAGGAGAGCAGGAGAAGAGGGCAAACATAATACACTAGGGGTGAGGGGAGGAATGTTTCTCCCCCAAAATAGCCAATCACCCAGAGGATTCGCTTTCTATTTTTACTTCCTGGATCACCTCATTATGTTAAATGAGTTTCATAAATTAGTAATCTGGCGACAGCACCGGACACTCCAACAGAACACGGTGAGCCACTCAGACCCAGTTATTCATTTGAAACTTCATTATACTGAAAATAAATCACACTATTTTTCCAGGCCGCATCTCTTTTCCTCCACTGTGTGGGCGTTGGTCTCTGTGGGGGAAGGGGGAGTGTGTTCTTTTCCTTTTTCTTTCTTACCCCCTCCTCACATTAACAACTTGTATAGATGAGGCTTCAGCAGACCACAGTCATTATGAAAATCTATAGTTAATACACTCCCAATGTCAAAATGTCATGGGTTTAAACACAGAACCCAAAATAAGAAAACTAACTGACCCTCTTAATTAAAAAAATATGGATTGTAAGATAATCAGCTTGATAGAGCATTTGGGTGACTGTAAAGAACCGGGCAAAGGGAAAGTAAGTAACTGTTACTTTTCTGCCTCTATGCTGATTTTTTTTAATTTAGCACTTCGTGCAAATCCAGATTAAAATAACTCCGGCTATTGATCCGAGCAGTGGAATTGACATTAATTTTAGTTCACTTCTCACTTTGCAAAGGGATCAATAGGAAGTAATAACAGCTGACATCCCTGCTGAAAGGAGGAGAAAGAAGGGCTGAAGACAGAAATCGAAAAGCAACCAAATAAATCATCAGCTACTTTTCCACGGCATCAGACAAACTCCAAACAGATTGCAAAAAGTCTTTGTTGAATTAACTAAACAAGGAGGAGGGATCAATCCACGAAGCTAAATAAATTGTCTGGCAGGCAGTGAGGTTGGACGGAGGGACCAACAAATATTGAGTTTTAAAAATTTCAAATCCTTGACGTGATGGGTTTGGTTCATGTCTGTATGTGTGTGGGAGTTTGTTAAATCACACACCCAACCCTGGTTTAAAGTGATTACAAAACGCCAACTAACTGAATAATTAGTGAGATCACTAATTGCGTGGTTAAACATGCCAGAACCAAGACAAATGGAACGAAGAAGCTGGCGTTCTGAACGTGAAAATGTCCGTGTCTGGGCTGATGCGCAAGGCTCCCCGCTCTCCGGCGCAAACTAGTCAGTTTCGCATAGAAAAACTGAACGCCAAAGTCTCTGAGAGTGGGCAGTTTCCCACCCCAGCTTCTCACCATCCCCGTCCAGGGTCTGGGCTTCTTGACCCGCTGTGGTTATGAGTGTAGAAGGAAGCCACGCTGCTGCTGCTGGGAGCCAAACCCACTTGCAAATGACTGCCACAAAGAAAGCTGCAAAGCCGCTCTCCCGGAGCCCCAGCTCTTAACGCCCAGCGAACTATGATTCTGCTGGCAATTACAACGCTCTCACAACACTCCTCTGCTTATTACAACAGGTGACATTTTTGTGGTCTCTGAACCGTTTCCAAAAGCAAGGAATGAAAATAATAGAACAAATTAAATGGTATTTTTCCCCTGCATAAATAAACTTTAAAAAAAAATTAACAGGCAACTTAAAAAGCAGAGAACAATAGGAAATGGGGCCAGGGTAGTGGGGAGTTGTGAAGAATCAGAAAAGAATTTTTTTTAAGTTCACAGACTTCTCCCCTAGAAGAGAATTCCCGCACACCAAATGCCCAGGGGGTATCTGGAAACACCACTCTAACAGAAATTTTTACCACCATATGCAAGGAAACATAAGGCTAACACGGGCTGGGGGCAATGCCTGCGAATCAGACGTGGCCAGGTGTGGGTCCCAGATCTGGACCCCGACCCAGGTCTGGCTTGGCTAACTGGTGAGGATAGGAGACAGCCCGGACTGTCCAGAGCGCGGGGCCGCGGGGCTGCCGGCTCAGCAAGCAGTGCAGAATTTAGTCAGGACGAGTCTTAACCGGGAAAAACCAACTCTTTTAGGAAAAACGGAGGAAGAAGAGGTGAAGGTGAAACCTACATTAACTTCGGGCCAACGCAGAGCCGAGGCGGCTACTGCACGGCCTGACCTCTCCTTCCAGCTCTCGGTAGCCTCTGCACAAAGAATACTTTAGGTCCCAACAACCTCCCCCCGAAACAGTCTGCTTGTAACTTTGGGGAATGAGAGCGCCGGCCGCGAAGAACGGACAAGTGCGAGGGGCCCTGGTCCGCAGCGGGACAGGGAGCGCGAGGCAGAGGCTCGTAGGAAGGTGCCTTCGATCAAAGTCCAAGTACCTAGTGCCCCAGAACAGCCCCGCCCCGCGGGTCACCCGGCCCGTCGCCGCGCGCTGTCGCCTCGCCGGGCAGCCACGGGGCTCCTAGACTCCAGCTCTCCTGCAAATGCGGGCCCTCCCCGGCCCCGGGCCGCGGGCCTAGGGTGCGGGAGAGGGCTGTGCCTCTCGCGCCGCGGCCCGGCTGCCGCTCGCCAAACAGGTGTGAGTCTCGGCTCGCTCGGTGCCCGGCCC